CTTACAACTTCTTTCCAATAACAACCCCCATGAACACCCAGTTTTCCTTGAGAAAACTGATCAAGATCACCCCTTTGGAATTCTAAAAATTAGCTCCTTTTGCTACTGTAACCTTTGCTATGCCCTGCCTTGAATTGAACTGCCCCAGCAGATCCCCTTGGAAGCCACTGTTTGGATTGGACCTGACCTTGCTCTCTGGATCATATTAATAAATTTAAGACTTGTCCCTGGTTGTGATTCATTCCATAAATCTTGCTTAAAAGATTGATGGGAAAATCTGAGAACCTTCGCACAACGCTTGTGGCACCTATCCAGCCAAAAGCTTGCCAAGGCCTAAATGTTCACTTAAAACTGAGAATGTTGAACCATGGAAGATTCCAATTTTAGTAGTTATTGAAACAATGGTAAATCTATGATCTTCTTCTGTCAAGTTTTAGACTTCATCTAGTTTCTTCCTTCTTAACCAGGCTGACATTCTTCCCTCTCTCAGCTCATTCTATTGTTTTATTTGGGAGCAGTATTCCTATAAAAGCTTCAATGTTTTGGGAAGATTTCAACTTGAGTTATGTTAAAAATTTGTTATAAACCATGACCTCAAAATGGCTTATTTCCCATGGCACAAATACTATCTTTTTATTAAAAGGTACCCTAACAAGACTAAGACAAGTGTATAGCTTGTAAGAATTTGTCTGCATTCACTCACTAATTGCAGACACATGCTTAAACACGTTCTGTTTGGAAAAAACTGATGTATGACGAGGTACCCCAGCAGTAATACGTTTTGACTAACCCTTGTATGTTGCTATCCAAGTTGCATATTCAAGGTGTGACTGTAACATTCAAAAGTTGAAGTAGGGAAATTTTCTAATTGGATATACAAGCAGCTCCTGCTTTTCCAAAGTTCACTTGACACCACTTGACTTTCACAAAAGGCCTGTATTAGTACCTGTTTATGTGAACTGAAAAATCTGAAGATTTTTCATTTTTACAAAAGAAAGGGAATGAGTGTGCAGCGTCTGTTTTGCACACACTGAGCAGGTAGAGGTGCTGCCACGCTCCTCTCTCAGAACGACTCAGCATGAAGCTGCCACAGCTCTCAACTACTCTTTGGACACTGTATGCACTATTTTAGGGTTTATATGCTATTTGGTATGATTTAGAGGTCTGAACTGCTCAAAACTCTTCCCAAATAAACAAGCAAAAGTTAATTGCCTTTTTTTTTTTTTGCTTCAATGTCATTTTTAGGCTTACAAAACATTTCAGAGGAACAAGTCCTTTGGATAGTGGGGTAAACCTGTACTTCAGATGATCTATATGTGAAATCTTTGAAATAAAACAGGTGGCATTTGATTCCTACTTCCCTAAGAACATGTATATTCCAATTGGTTAAGAAGAAGTATTTTAAAGCAGCAAAATGGAGGACTATTTATACTGACACATACATATGATGTATAATTAAAATTTTTCTCTTAAAAAAAATGTTATTTATGACCAGCAAATCTCTTTGTGTCTTTAAGTTTTACTTATTTGTTGTTGCTGAGACCAGCATACCTTTTGAATTGCTACTAACAACATTGCTTTATACAGTTGTCTGTAGGATTTGTTCAAGGAAATCACGGTACCAGATTCTTACAGTAAAAGTTATTCTAAAAATAATCTTCATAGAGTAAATTTTAAGAAGCTGTTTAACACATATGCAGCTGTTACTTTCAAATTATGTTAATTACTTGAAACAGTTCCTTTCGACTGTTATATGTAGGTGTTAAAAATAGTTTCAGTTAAGTTCTAAATTCTGTAGCGTATTCCACAAGACTCAGACTGCATTTCTGGAAACATGCCATCTGGTACCAATAAGAGCGTCAGGAACCACAGGAACAATTACGTTGAAATACCCCTTTACCATGGTCAATGAACAAGATATAGACACAGATGAATGAGGAAATCAAGAAGTATTATGTCCACGGGTGTACAAATTCCTGAAGAAAGCTTCACATATCTGAGTCAAGGTACTAATATATCAGAGACAGTGGTGATTCATCACCTCACACGCATTGTGAAGTTAGACAATCAATAGGGAAGAGTGGAGAAGAATCGATGCATTTTAATGGTGTTGGAGAAGAATATTGAAAGTACCATGGGCTGCCAGAAGAAGAAACAAATCTGACAGAAGTACAGCCTGAATTCTCCTTAGAAGCTAAGACTGGAAAGATTTCTCTTACACTTTGGACATATTATCAGGAGGGACCAGTCCCTGGAAAAGAACATCATGCTTGGTAAAGTGGAGGGTCAGTAAAAAAGAAGACAACCCCCAAAACAAGATGGACTGACACCGTGGCAGTAATAATGGCCTCAAACCTAACAACGGTTTTAAGGATGGAGCAGACCGGGTGGTGTTTCATTCTGTTATGCATAAGTTCACTATGAGTTGGAATCAACTCGATGGCACCTAACAACAAATGGTGGTTCAATTCTGTCTAAGCAGGAGACCTGGGTTTATTCCTAGCCAATGCATGCTGTAGGAAGCCACTTCCTGTCTATTACTGGAAGATTATATGATGTCGAACAGGTTTCTGCAGAACTTCTAGACTAAGACAGTCTAGGAAGAATGCCCAGGTGATCTACTTCTAAAAAACTACCCAGTGAAAACTCTATAGAGATCACATGGGTCCAATCTCATTGTGCATGGGGTCACCATGAGTCAGGAGCCAACTCAACAGCAGTTAGCAACAACTAATAAATGAAGAGACAATGATACTCTCACAGTACTGTCCAACAGAACTTACTGCAATGATGCGTGCTTTTTGCTGCGACTTAATTTTAATTAATTTAAGCTTAAATAGCCATGAGACTAATGGTAGGTGTTTTGGACAGTGCAGGTCTAGGACATCTAGGGTTCATATTAGGTCCTTACTAAATCTGGAAGGGCTGCTAAACTATTGAGTCCCTGCTGTTGCTGTTGTGAGGTGCTGTCAAGCCGGTTCTGACCCATAGCGACCCTGTATAGGGTTTCCGAGGAGCAGCTGGTGAGCTTGAACCGTCGACCTTGTGGTTCAAACAGCTTTGCAGTCCAGCGCATTAGGCCGCAGCACCATACCAGGATTCCATATGAGTCCCTGGGTGATATAAAATGTTAACACATTTGACTGATAACTGAAAGGTTGGGGGTTCAAGTCTATCCAGAGCCACCAAAACCCCATGGAGCATGGTTCTACTAAGGAACCCATGGGTCATCATAAGTAGGAGTCAAGTTGATGGCAATTGTCACTTTTTCTAGAAATTGTAGACCTAATAATTCCCCCCAATTGTAAGTCAAAGATTTGAAAATATGAGGATCTTCATATAAATCCTTATAGTCTCTGTTAACTAGGTAAAATAAATAAACATAAAAAGCATATGGCCTCTAATCTGGGAGTCCTGGTGTGGGGCTGTGAGTTAAAGCACTGGACTGCAATGTCGGGTTGAATTGCAAGGTCAACTGCAAGGTTCAAGCTCACCAATCGTTCCTACAAAACGCTATACAGGGTTGCTATGGGTTGGGACTGACTTGACGGCACTTAACAATAACAACATGATACAAATAGAGAATACCAACAATGACAAATAACACATAAAATAGACATAAAATTATAGCAAATCAAGCACCACAGTCCATAAATTAACTATTTGCAGTGTACATGGAACTGAACATTCATTATATATAAGAAGGCAAAGACAAACTGGTCACTGACAGATTGTTACTTCAACTTGGGAAAGCTTTCAAGTAAGGGGATTTTCAAAAAGACTGTTTAACTATGGGAAAATGGAAACATAATAAAATACAGAGAAGAGTATAATGACTCTCCATGTAGCCATAACTAAGCTTCAAGAGTCATTAACTCAGAGACAAACTTGTTTCATTTGGACCCTCCATCCACTTCCCCATTTGCTATTATTTTAAATCCACTTGGCACTGGACTGCAAACTGCAAGATTGGCAGTTCAAGCCCACCAGTGGCTCTCAGAAACCCAATACAGGGTTTATTATGAGTCAGAACAGACTCAACAGCACACAACAACAACAACAACATAATTTCATCTGTGAGGCGTTTTAAGACTTCTGAAAAAAAAAAAAGGACTATAAATGCTTGGTTTATTTATCAAGGGGGAAAGTATTTTAGGAAAAAGAACCGATGTATCAGGCTTATAAATTAGAAAGCATCGGTGTGATGCAGTGTAAGGAGATTTAAGGAGAAAGCAAGAAAAGCAGTGGGCAGAAAAGAGGTAGACAGACGGGAGAGCCCTTAGAGTAGAGGCCAGTAACTTTTAGTTCAAAGCAACAAGAATTAGTATAGTTTTAGGGGAGAAAGTTAATTCAAGGAAACAACGTTGACTTTTGTGGTGTCACGCAAGTCTGACTTCTGAAGTACTGGGGTTAAAACTCAAAAGGAGGACACTGCAGTGCTCTGTAGTTGACATGTCTGCTCCAATAAACCACATCATTCCCAAACGCTGAAAAGGGACTGCTCCCTCCGTTTCAGGAAAGGCTGCTCACTGGTGAAAATTCAGCTATGGTTTTCCCTTTCTCAATACTGAATTTTCATTAGCACTGACAAATTCATTTCATTAGCACTGACAAATGAATTGCTGCAAATAATCTCAATATGAAGACAATTTTTCACTAAAAAATATATCTAAATTTACATTAAACATTACCACTAATAAAACTTTTAAAAATGAAGCATTAGCACATCAAATGTAACAGATCCTCTTTTACGTTCAAACGATGAGCTGGTTTTATTCGTGGGAATTTTTAAATGTAAATTTAAAGTTTTTTTTCCAAGAAATATTTGAGGATTTTAGTCTTTACAGAAAGAGGACTTTTAGTCTTTATGCAAAGAATAGAGGACTGATGAGAAAGAAACACGGTGAGGGAGTTGTGAAGAAGTATTTAATTTAGAAAGACTTTGAAGGAAAAAAAAATTAAATGAAGATCATTTTTAAAACCAAACAATCCCAACTTACTTTTTTGGTTTTCTGGAAGTAGAGTTCAGGAAAAGCATGAAACCAGTAAGCCAACTGTGATATGTAGAAAAACTTCATTTGAAATCTGCATAATATAAAAAAGTAAAAAACACCTTTTAAAGAATAATCTTAACAATAAACAAACACTGGAATTCAGGATATATTCCGCAGCTACCTTGGCTCTCTATTATACTTAATATATCTTTAAAATACTGCAATAGCTGCTTTCCCCCTTTCTCTCTAGGATATTTCCATCACTCTAGATTCTCTTGGCTTACAACAACTAAAGAAAAGAAACTGCCTGCAGAATATTGACATTATATGGGAGGAACCACAGTTCTTTTTCTATTGCTGTGGTTGTTGTTAATTACCATGGAGTCGATTCTGACTTACAGCAACCCTGTACAGGGTTTCCGAGGCATGGCAGTTGAGCTTGAACCACCAATCTTGTGGTTCAAACCAACCTTTCAGTTCAGCACATTAACCCGCAGCACCACACTAGGACTCCTCCTTTCTATTAGGCAATTAATTACTAGTAATTAGCATGTCACATTAACTACTGAAAGCATAAGGAACATGACTGAGGAAATCAAATCGTAGATCTATTGTTGTTTGTTGTTAAGTGCCACTGAGTCAGTACCAACTCATAGCGACCCTGTATAGGGTTTCTGAGGAGTGGCTGGTAGGTTTGAACTGCCTACCTTGTGGCTAGCAGGTCCCATCAAAAGGGGAATGGAAGTTATGGATAAAAGACTGACGTAAGAATCAAGACTCTTAGAGTAACAATCATCAGTCCCAATTTCAAATATCCCCTTGACTTTTTCTTCACAGAAATATGGCAACTCTACTTGGTTGCAACATGGTGGGGAGACAGTGCCATCAAGTTTGTCCCAACTCATAACGATTCCATATAGGGTTTCCCAGGAACAACTGGTAGGTTTGAATTTCCGACCTTGTGGTTAGCAGTCCAATGCTTACCCCACAGTGATACAGAGCCAGGAGTAAACAGAAGCAAACACGCATAGAAAGGTTCCCAGAAGAGTCAAGGGATTTCAAAACATTCATGGACAAATTCCATTATCTTTCAATTCCATTTGTCCATGAATTTTAAGAAGTCCCTTCATATATCCTGATCAGTCTAGAAGCCAGAAAAGACATTTCTCTTTACATTATGCCTCATCAAGCCCTTTTGCTTTCTCTTTATCATCCTGTCTCCAAGTCTTCTAAAAGTCAAGCACAGAAAATATAAAGTCAATCTAAAATAATTTCTGGAGGAAAAATATGTTGTTGTTGTTAAGTGCCGTTGAGTCAGTTCCGACCCATAGCGACCCTGTACAGGGTTTCCGAGGCTATAAATGTTTACGGGAGCAGAAAGCCTCATCTTTCTCCCACGAACTGCTGGTAGTTTTGAACTGCTAACCGTGACGTTAGCAGATCAACTTGTAACCACTATGCTACTAGAGCTCCTTTATAAAAATATGTTTACAACTTTATTTTTATAAAAGTTCAACAAATTCATATAATTTTAAAAAAAAACAAACAATGACTCATCATAATGAATATTTTTGTTAGCTTTAAACAAAGATATGCATAGTCATGTCATCCCTGCTTTTCTTCCTATCTAATTCTCACAAACTCAATCTATGTACTGAGTACTTTCTGGGTTACAATCACCTACAACCTATCCAGCACAACAAAGGCTGTAAAATAAAAATGAGACAGTTCCTGCTGCTGTTAGGCAGTTATAGCACTGAAGTCTTGGTGGGGATGGGCACAATATAAGACTGACATAAATGAAATAAGTATAAACAATCAATACACAGATACTACATAAAATATTACAGATTCAGTGATGTAAAAGATCAATAGAGACTAAAGCAGCAAAAAACAAGCAAGCCAACAAAAAAGTAACAGAGCTGGGCTTAAAGTATGACTAACTGAATAAATGTTTATACTACCAGTAAGCTCTACAGAAATGTGTACACACTTTGGCTAAGTGTTGAAGAGCCTGCATACATGAAAAAGGCACACAAATTATTTTCTTATGGCAATGGGACCGCTAAAGATATACTTTCACTTATTTTATGAATTTGCTGAAATTTATCAAGAGAATCACAAAAATTAAATTTGCTTAAAAGTGACATGACCGTGGTCTTTAAGAAAAGCTTGTCAAAAATGACTTACGTCATTAGGTTATGGGGATAGGCTCGCCACAAGATAGTTGGGTCTGAGATGTAATTTTCCTAAGAAAAAAGACATAAAGATTAGCCTATTCGTATAATGTACGCTTCTAGAAAAACACTGCAATATTTTCATTTGCTGCATTTACAGTTCTTATTGTCAGGAAGGAGCTCTGGTAGCGTAGTGGTTACGAATTGGGCTGCGAACCTTAAGGTCAGCGGTTCGAAACTACCAGCCGCTCCGCGGGAGAAAGATGAGGCTTTCTACTCCCGTAAAGATTTACACCCTCGGAAACCCTGTACAGGGTCACTATGGGTCGGAACCGACTCGACGGCACTTAACAACAACAACAAATTGTCAGGTTCCAAAGAGTCCACTGACGTTACTTTTCAGTTGTTTTAGTTATTTTCAATTTAGTTTGAATTGTTTTCTTTAGCTAAATGAAAATCATTATCAGAGATACAGAGGGATTACGTTGTGACCCTGTCTGTATAGGGTTTCCGAGGAGCAGCTGGTGAGCTTGAAACACCGACCTTGCAGTTCAAACTAACTTTGCAGTCCAGTGCATTTACCCACGCCACCACACCAGGACTCCTTTCCCTCATTTGTTGTTGTTGTTATGTGCCATGGAGTCGGTTCCGATTCATAGGGTTTCCGAAGCTGTAAATCTTTACGGGAGCAGAAAGCCTCATCTTTCTCCCGCGGAACAGGTGGTAGTTTCAAACTGCTGACCCTGAGGTTAGCAGCCCAATTTGTAACCACTACACTACCAGAGCTCCTTTTTCCCTCATTAGTTAGATGATAAAATTAAAGGTACTGATTCCCTTAGTAGAAGAATCACACATTCCAAACTTTTTGAAAGACACCTGTATTGGTTTTAAAGGAGGGAAAATGGCTAGATGCAGTATGTTGTTGTTATGTGCCATGGAGTTGGTTCCGACTCATAGCAACCCTGTACAGGGTTTCCAAGGCTGTAAATCTTTCGGGAGCAGAAAGTCTCATCTTTTTCCTATAGAACAGCTGGTAGTTTCGAACTGCTGACTGTGAGATTAGCAGCCCAATTCGTAACCACTACGCTACCAGAACCCTAGTGTAAGAACCACTGACACTTTATACTTTTTGCTAATATGAATGTACTTTCAAATGACAAGACATAAGTAAGGCTTTATGAAACTTTTTAAACATAGCTTAAAAACTATGAAAACTTTATCACTGAAACAGAGTTCCTAATTTAGAGGAAGAAAAAGAATGAGAATGTTTATAGGAAAAAAGAAAGCTAAGGCAGATAAAGAGGAACTTGCTTTAAGTTTAGGATTTGCTTAAGAGCACTAAAAGTGTACCATATATCTGAACTCAACATAATACTTTGAGAGATGAAAATATAAGCATAATACATACTTACAGAGACAAGAATGAATGTGCCCCAAATACAAGAAAAAAGATAGAATGCACTAAGCTGACCAGATTCATTAAACTTGCTGTGCTTCGTTTTGGAGAAGTGCATTCGCCTGTTTATTTTCTAAAAATAAAAGCAGCCATTAGTAATTAAGAACACATTACAAAATATATTTAATAGATGACGATCATAGTGTAAGAGCTAGTAGCTTACAAAATATAAATTTCTAAGGTTGTATACTTACATCCAACACATACTCTTGAATTATGGCATGAATAATTACTGCCACTAGCATGTAGAAGAAAACTGTAGCCAGATCTTTGATACCATAGTAATAAAGGGACGCTGACTCTGTAGCTTGTTCTTCTGAAGGCCAAAAAGGACACACACAAAAAAATGTACATCAGATTATAAAAACAGCACTGAGTACAACATAGTTAAAAAACAAATACAATTAGACTAACCTAATAATTAAATACTACATAGGTAATTTGCTTTTAGACACCTTGACCCTTAAGGGGCAATGGAAACTGAGGAGGCTATCCAGCAATCTAGACTTGACACATGTTAGTTACAGCTATCAAAGACCAAAAGACAGGGGAGGTAAGGCCACATTCAGATCTTCAACAAGGTATAACCCCAGGCGCTACCAAATGTGATCCTTAGCCCATTTTACCTATCTTTAGCAAGAACTTTTGAAACTTTAAAAAATTATTGTTAAAATATAAACAGCAAGACACAAATCAACGTATGTTTCCATATGTACCATTTAGTGACACTGATTACATTCCTTGAATTGTACAATCGTTTTCTTCTTCCTTTTCTGAGTTGTTCCTGCCCCATTAACATAAGTTCACTGCCCCTTAAGGCTCTTCTATAGTATCTTAAGCTGTCGCTACTTTGATCCTACATAGTTCTTAAAAGACCATAATGCTTAGGCAGGCTTTTTTTTGCTAATTATGCTTGACTGTTTTTTTGGCTTTAAGATGTCAGGGGATTTTTGGTTTAAGATTTAAAGATTATCTCAAGGCAAGAGTTTCAAGGGTATAACCTTCATGGCAACAGGAACTGTGGAGTCCATGTGAATGTTACAATTCTGCTCTGCATTTCTCACCTTCAGATCAAAATCTTCAATAATGGTAGCCAGGCACCATTCAGTCCTTCTGGTCTCACGGCAAAGGGGGCAGCTCTTCATGAAGGCAAGTAACCACACATCCTATACCCTTCCCTTATTTCCGGCTTTCCTTCTCCAGCTACTGCTCCAAGCAAATAGTGCCTTGGATGGCTGCTTCCAAGCTTTGTAGCCCCTAGCACTACACAGTGTCTAAGAGGTAGAACAGAAGCACTACACATATTTTAGGTCAATTAACTGGGGCAGCCTATGAAACCACAACTCTATAAATCCAAACCAAGGAACCAAATCCTGAGGTTTTGGGTTTTATGTAAGCAGCCGTGGCCTTCAACTTTTTACAGGTTTAAAATTATTTTTATTGCAATTGCAATAGTCAGCTGTGCAACCCTACCCTTAATTAAAGTAAGATTACCATAAGCCCTGCCTCCTGCCCCTGGTAACCACTAACAAACTTATCTCTTTTTCTGGTCTTTTTATATTAAGTGTAGTCATACAACGTAAGTCCTTCCCTTGCTGACTTATTTCACTCAGGATAAATGTCTTTCAGTTCTATCTATAATATGTTGTTGTTGTTAAGTACCGTGGAGTCGGTTCTGACTCATAACGACCCTACAGAGGGTTTCCAAGGCGGCAAATTTTTACGGGAGCAGAAAGCCTCTTCTCTCTTCCATGGAACAGCTGGCAGTTTCGAATTGCCAACCCTGAGGTTAGCAGCACGATTCGTAACCACTATAATATAGCAGTATTAATTTCTCCTACTGGCTAAGTATTAACTGGTCTTCCCTGTGGGCGCATGGATATTATCCTATCACTTATAGCATCGTACCTCATGACTGATCTGGATATGTTCTTTTTGACGAATGCAACACCATTCCTCTTCAACTTGTCATTCCCTGCATAGTAAACCATGTGGTTGTCAGATTCAAAATGGCCAATACCAGTCCATTTCAGCTCA